CAGATGTATCAACTGAAATGTAAAAATTTCTCACTATCCCTTCAATATTTGAAAAAATACGTGCTATATTTAGGGGTCTCTGCCTTCTTAAACCGAACATATGGACCTCCCCTCTCTAGTTCAAGGCACCTGTGTACAACAGAAGCATAAATTTCAGCTCAGCAACATCTGCAGAATTTTGCTCTTAACAGCTCTCCATGTGTTTTTCACTAATTCACACAACTTAGCCACACTGAAAGCTAAAGGCATATGCTCAGCTTGTTCATTGTATCTGAATGACTTTACATTTTATACAAGATTTTTTATTAAACATAGGTACCCCCATGTAATCACAGCTTCTACAATTCTACAATAAAACACAACTTAAAATGCTGAAGTAGAACATCAGTATCTTAAACATAGTAATGAATGCTAAATGCAAATCAAATGAAATGAAGATGAAAATATGTCTTTTACTTACATGCAATTAGCTTCATAAGTAAGAGCTTAAGCAATACCAAAGTAAAGCTTTTAAACAAGTATTTGTTTTCCTCAGCAATTAAGGAAAAAGTACACACACACACATATACATATGCATATATACATATATATGCATAATTTGTAGAAGCAAGGGGATTTTAAATTGAGGAGGACAGCAGGTCACTCGATTAGACTTAGAATTCGGAAGAAGCAATGAAGAATACCAAGTCCTCATTCCTTTCTAAGGATTTAATGCTGCAAGCTGCAGAATAAGGGATGAAGCCTACTCACTGCAGGGAAGTTGCTAAACTGTGTTCCCTTCTGGTGTGCCTATATTGTTAAATAAAGAGAAAAAGGAACTGCAATATTTGAGTCAGGAATACACAGGCAGATAAGCCTTCAGGAATGGGGTCATAAGTGTAAGGGAAAACAGAATCATTTCTGGGGTCAAAGTTGCTTCCAGATTTGGCAAAGTTGGGACAGTAAAGTTGGTGCTCAGAACAAGAGACACCACCACTTTCCCAGCTGATGAATCTCCTTTAATTTGCCACAAGAGGATCTCTATCCCAAAGACAAAATTTTCATGATCATGAGAAGATCAAGCCTATTTTATTCTTCTTTCCTCTCTACCTGCCAACCTATTTCAAAAAGAAGAACATGCTTTAAAAAGTACAGAAACCTCATTCTTTTTCCCCTTACACAGGTTTCAGGACATTTTTCACTTCAATTTTTTTATGACTGGGGAGACTAGCAATCCTAAAACCATTCCTATTTAGATTTGAACCAGTAGGAAAAGCCAGTTCCAGTGGGAAGTGCCTGCAAACATGCACCCATTCAAAGAAGCTGTGAAACAACTGTTTCAGAGTTCCTTTAAGTGTTTTAGAATTAAATAATTCCACCCTTCACTTTGCACAGTATGTCAATACAAAAGATTATCTGCACACTCATTACAGGTTTTTTTTTTTCATACAAGTTCTCTCCAACCTCTTTCAAGTTCAGTGCACAATTACGATAGTGGTGGATAACCTGGTTTTTCATCATGTCAAAAGTTTACAAGGAAGAATGAACAATTAATCTAAATGGTTTTTTTGAGCCCAGGATGGAAGAGTGAAGCAGAGCAGAACATCCACTCGCTTTCCTGACTGTCAAGTGGGGTAAATGCCCATAAAAATACACAGTTCTCTCATTACTGTCTTTCTGCTATGACCATTCCTGTAATGACGGTTTTCAATTCTTGTATTAAAGCCATTTTGAGCCTCTATCCTATTAACCTCTTTACCTTATCTAAGTATCAGAACTGTGGAAACAATTATATTCAGAAGCTTAACCAATAAGCTAAGATGAATGTTATGGGATAAATTTTTTTCACTTGCTAATTGACTAAACTGATGATAAAAAGTTGAATTAAAGAATCTTCACAGCAAAGTACTTAGAAGAGTTATGTAGAAATTAAATAAAATTACAGGTGAGTACTATAAATATATGCCAAGACAAATGGAAATAACCATGAAGAATGTAAGGAAATGTTCTGGGCTACCGTTTTATAATTTCCGTGTTTTCAGAATATTAGATAATAATGATTTCCCTACTAACAAAGTTTAAAAAAACTCCAGCCGTCAAAGAACAGATATTTTTAACCAAAACACACTACAAAATTCACTTTAAAATTCAGTTTATAAATCTAACAGAATTTAGAAGTATAGTTTTGTTTCAGTCTTCTCAGATAAAAACTAATTTATTAAAAACTAATTTGCCAATTATTTATTGCAATTTTTTTTATCTAATGTTTAAATAAATCGAAATATTCAGAGTTTAGGTGACAGAACAAAAAACTAAAACAACGAGCCAAACCCTCTAAATATCTGTGAGCTTCTATCCTCTCTTAAAATTAATGAAGGGCTCAAAAACTGCCCTCTTGACTAACTATCCAAATCCTCCCAGCTGGCATTAGCAGCTGATGTGTCCCATATATGCAGTACTGCACCAGACAGTGCTTTCAAAGGGTTAATGCCAATTTGAAATTAATCTGCCCCTTTGACATTTGAATTTGGTCATTTATAAATCTACCAGACTTTTATCAGAACACTTTGATGTGGCTGTACAAGGCAGACTGTTGAATACATATATAACAGATGACTTCTTTGCCTATAGATGATATATTTGTCTATATACTTGCACCTAGCTCTACTCTCAGTAGCAAAGAATGGCAATATTCAGAGTAATTTTCTGTACTGTACAAACCATCCAAAATATAGCAATCCCATTAAAATGCCATTCAAATTTACTTCAGCCATTGAAATTCAAACAACATTCAGGCATAATAGGACTAAGAATGTACCACATAGTAGAACAATCGGTATGAATGAATTGATGTGCTCTGTACTGGAAAAGATAACATTTTGCTTCCCACAAGCAAATATTTCTGGAAATAAACTAGCTTCATGGTCCTAAGGATTAAGTCACAACATTTCTCATAAAAAGTGATTAATCTTTACAAAAAGGCAGGAAAGCGAGACAGCTACTGCCACCCACTTCGACATTTTCATTCTTTGAAAAAGAAAAACAAAAAAACCAAACCCCAAACACAACAAAAATCGTGAACTAGTTTATGAACAACAGCTATCAGTAATGCAGATTGCCAGTTGAAATAATTTATCAAGTATATTTCTGAGATAACGATCTTTTACTCTCTGCATTGAGAGAACACAGTGACATTAAACAGCTTTACTAAGAAATCTGATAAGCTTTGCCATTGAACACACAAGTCCTGAACAAGAGGTCACATTTTCTATACCAGCTATTTGAGCCTTGTGAACACATACAGCCATATCCTTGTTGGTGTTGTGTCTAATTGATGCCTGGAGTCCCACTCATTTATGGAAGACTCACCCAAAAGTCCTTTTCCCTATTTGGACACTTGCACCTATGTTCCACAGAAAGCAAACCAAATAAAAATGTTTCTTTCAAGTAATGATACTTCATTCCAGTGCTCTCACTTACTTGAGTTATTTTATCAACACCTTGAAAGCCATGTTTCTCAAAATGTTCTGCTATATTTAGGAAGGTATGACGTTCCAGGTAACGGCAATTACTCAGTGCAATTAAAAGTCTCTGTTCCTAAAAATTTGTTTTAAGAGAATAAAGAGTATAATCGTTAGAAAAAAAAAAATTGGCATAACCAACACCGCAAATGTACATAGAGTATTTTATTGACTCACTGTGTGATAAACATGCTCATAAATGGAGTTTACAAATACTTTTGTCAATAAACCACTGAGAACTGAGTATCGGGTATGCTGACTGAAAACGCATGCTTTTTCTTATGGGATCTGGAGCATTCACTGGAATAGTTGTGACTAATACAGAACTGTGGTTAAGACTTCTTTACAAAAATTAGGCCTGGAGAGCTTTCCAGGAAGCTGCTTCTGAATTTTCCTGTGTTTCTAGAAATAAGCTAAGAATTATGACCATCATGAAATTAACTGAAGATCATGTCTACTTTCACAAGAAGCTGGCTAAAAGATGGGAAGCAAAACAAGTACTGAACAGATACATTCATCCACTCTAAAACACTAGAAGGTTCAGAAGTACATAATATAACTTCAGCAGTTTGAAAAAATTTGAGGTGTTTATTTCTGTCCTTCAATGATTTTTTTAATTACAAGGGAGCCAAATACATTCTAGAGTTGAGATACCAGAATTGCCTTTCCTTGGCCTTGATGTAACAAGGTATAGTTTCCAAACAAAGAACCAAACAAGACAGAACTGATATTTAAATAAATTTGGTCTTCCCTCTTTCC